CCGCGAGTGCTGTCGCTGCCGAGATCAAATCGTCGTGTGATCCAAGCGAGCTCGATCTTTGTCACTTTAAAATCTACAGGGCGTTCTGGAACCGCTGACCTTAATTTTAATAATAAATTCGCTCGAAATGAATGCTTTCCTGATCGTGATGTACGTATAGTACAGAAGTAGAAACATCAGTAATTTTTTACTTATTGAATACGAAGGATTGTTTTGAGAACTTGAATTACTCTATCATGTAATTAAAAAAGGCAAATCTTAATCTTATTGTATTTATTCATTTTTACTTACATCAAAATTTTTATTTATCCAATTATATTAGATGTTTAATATAAAATATTAAAATGATAGCTAAATTTGTTAAAGATTTTATCATTAAAATTCAAGGGTAAGTTTCTGACGCTCTGTGTACCAAGCTACGTATGATTGTAGCACTTTAACGCGAAAATGGCGCCTCGTACTTCGACGATTACGGAAACATTTTTTGTGGGAGAATAGGAATTCCGAGAAATCAAACGGATATATGTTAGATGTTTGTATTGTGTATTATACAAATATGCATTTAACATTTTTAACGAACGCGATATGTCCATTATATGTCCCTATTTGTGAAACGATGTAAAATAGTATTAATAAGCCGATATTCTGTAAACGATAATCGCAAATGTGTATATATACATATGTACTATATGTATCCACAAAATACACTGCAGCTGTTATAAACTAAGGGTTGAAGTACGAGGCATCCGTTTTATCGCGTATTAACAATTATGGAGTGGAAAGTCATAAAAGCTATTATATTTCAGCGGCTATTATTTTCCAAAATGAGAGATTAGAGACTTTTCGCGAGCCTTCGAGCAACGTCGTCGCGTATCATTCTTGCTATTTCTGAAATTTCGTTTCTAGTTGCAAACGTGCGTTTTGCCGTTTCTATTTTATAGAGCACGTGTTTGCGGAGATAAACGCATGTAAATGACGGATAGCCCTTTATAATCTTCCACTCCACAATTCTCGCGCAACAATTCTCTGAGCACACACACGTACACACACTGTCCCGAGCGCAAACAAGCGCGCTAGAAAATAATAATTTTTACAGCAATTCTATCGTAACATATGTGTTAAAAATGGATCATATGGATCATACATCGGCTCTCAATATGCGAGTAATATCGTATCGCAAGGAAATCCGTATCACTCGTTATCATCCAGTGTAAGCCATTTTACATGCGTAAGAAACGTTTACGTGTATCGTCATGAAACGATTACCTATAACCACCGTTAACATGTATACTACAATCGTATATGTTGTTGCAACCTTTCTAGCCTGGTAATCGTGATTATGTGAAAATGACGTGGTTATACGAACAAGTGCAACTTTGCATCAGACTAAAAGAAAGTTTATGGAATATGTGCGAAAAAAATCGTACACCTAATTCTCTCTGTCTAAACTAAAATAAATTATTTTTCTGGACGTTTCACTAATCTTGTCCTCTTAATATCGAGATAATAGCAAACAGATTTTGAAAATCGTCTGTACTTTCTTCTTATTTTCGTAAAAATATTAAAAATTGCAGAATGAAATAATAATAATTTATAAATATATAATTGTTTATTATCTATAAGAAGATTACTTCTTACAAGATGTTTTTTAAGAAAAGTTTTTTTGAGATTTTATATTGTATCTTAAGTGTATTTTGATTATAATTCTTTTTTAGTGTGATGTAAAATTATACTTGATGATGCAAATTTTTTTATGGTATGCCGTAATCGTGTATTATTTTATTAATTCAATCGTTAATAACGATCTTTTTTTACGAATTTTTACGAGTAATTATTCTGAGTATTTCGAATATAATACGTTTCAGAATGTTATTGTACCTTCAACAGAGGGTCTCAGAAGGAGAAATATATCGGTATACATATTAAGTGCTTCGAGACCGGAGCACTTAATATGCCTGCCGAAATATTTTCCCATAATTTATCGCGTAAGATTTATTTGACGTAGAAAATCTCAAATTGAAATTAAATAACCGTGCAATATTAATCACAATTCACCAGAATTGGGAGTTACGTTCGTCTACATTTGCCAGTCTCTGTCTTCGGAGATTTACGACGTTCGTGTGCCATCAATGAGCGTGACGAATGCGCATAAAATGAGTAAAAATTTCACGTTTCTAACTGTCTCTTTAATCAAAGTTTCACTCCACAGCGACACGTTTATCAGGTAAATCGTCGCGTATATGTTGTTCCCTCAACTGCGAATAAATCTCGCCGATGACGTTTACGCGCGTCATGTATCGATTGCGAGAGAGACAGGGACATCTCCTCTCTTTGTCCGTTATCAATAACGCGTTGCAAATCGTGCGCAAAAAGGAGATTACGAACGAATGGAAAATGGGAAAACGGAGGTTCGGAGATCCGAAAAGCTTTTCGATTTGCTCCTTCGCGAGGAACACGGATCAAAAGGTATTTTCATTGTTATTCTATTATTTGCTCAATTATATCGTCGTTTTACATTGTAATCGACTCTGTAACGCACTCTAGCCGCGGTAATTACAACTTTGTACTATTGTCATGTAAAGTTAAGTTTTTAACTTACCACCTAAGGCAACAATTTTCTAGAGATTTATCGAGGAACGATGGGAACGCGATCGGGATCGATGATGGTCGGGATCGCGATCGATCAAACAATTTCCACGTTCCGTTTCTCGACATATTTTAGAGAGATTTTCTCCGGACCGGAAAAAAACTATTTCAGGGACATAAAATCGTTGTTGCATTTTTGGTGGGTATGTCCTTGCGTAATTTACGATTCGTACTGTATTCATTCCTTTCCTCCATCCCAGCTGCGCGGTTGAGTACATAGCGAGATTTCTTTAATAAATTATAAGAAATTATAACGGCCTCTGGAGAGAATTAACGAACACAATTGACGAATGAAATCTTAAGCGTCGGGCAATTCTGCTCTTATCGGACTAAGCCAAGCATTCTTCGGGGGCCCACGGGAAATTAAAATGTAGATACGTAAAAATTAAAGATTGGTAGATATAGAAATATAAATTAATACGAAGCAGAAAATTGACATGCAAGACATTTATTATGTGTCTTTGAAAATTATTACGTAACATCTAGTTATATTTTTGCTTAGTATGCATATAAGATTTATATTTCAAACTTCATTTTCTGATGATACGAATTATATAGATTATATAATTTCAATATTTATATTTTCTTGCAGATTGGAAAGTTAAATTTATTTCTCGAATTTCTGCTGTTATACTTAACTTCTCTAATAAAATAAAAGGAATCGAAGAGCCATAAATTTCAGAGTGGCGAGAGGTTTCAAAGTGATTTTTGAAAGTCAAGTGCCAAGGCAGTGCCAAAAGCAGAAATTGCCAGTCCGACAACGATACCCTTTTTCCACTTTGAAGCGTGCATCGAAGCATTCATCGACACTCGGAAAAAAAAGAGAGCTCGCTATTGTATTTCGCTCATGTCACGATTATTAAGCGTGTCATACAGCTGGGTTCGACAAAAAAAAAAGCGTCAGCATGTAATCCTCAATCGAATCACGTGCGAGAAAGAAAAAAATGTAAGAGAGAGAGAGAGAGAAAGAGAGGGAGAGAAAGAGAGAGTGAGAGAGAAAGAGAGCGAAAGAGAATAAAAACTGCAAAAATGCGAACAGAAAGACATCATCGTCTTTAAAAGAGAAACACCAATGAAGAAGTAACAATGTATACACTATACATAACATATGAGTATACAAAAATGAATAAATCTACGTATATATAAAATGAGAGATAGATTAATAAAAAATCTCAAGCCACTACATTATCATTATTATTTACCAATGCCGAGAGTGTACTTACCTTACCTTACCTGTTATGCTTACCTTACCCCGATAAGCATAATCGATATTCTCAGTTTAAAGTTTGAGTGACTTAATTTACAGGATATTTCGCAGGATATTCAGTTACGAATTTTTAATTCGCAGGATGTGCGATTGTGAAGCCGAGAACACAAATAAAGGTATACAGCGTTTGACATAAAAGAAACCGATTTAATTGGCTTAAAATAACAAATTGCGTTGTACATTCGAATCTCGAAGAAAAAAAACGCGACGTCGAGCATACGGTGCGAGCAAAGACGGAAAACGTATTCATAAAAAATAACAACGTTAGCTCCGCGAGTGCGTGAAATGTCACGCTCTGTGGCATTTCCCGGCGGCCGAGAAAGTGTAAATATACTCGGTTCGCAGAGGATATCGCGTCGAATAAAATTCCACCAATTTACAGAGTCTAAAAGGGCCTCTCTGCGCGCGGATATATCACGTTATGTTCCATCGCATGTATAATTCTCGCGTGCGTACGATATGAAGGTAGATTTATAGAAAAAAAAACAACGTATGTGTGAAAAATATAATATCGCCTACAAAATGATGATTAAAATTCGAGAACGCGCGGAATCGTCCTCTCCCACGCGAGGACACACGTTAATTTGCGCCGATTAAAAATTTCCGTGTTACGGCTAATCTGCGAGAGAAACGCGAAAGTGACTTACAAAAACTCGCTAAGTTGCTTGGCAAACTTCAACTTCAACCCTCTCATTTCATCGTCCCCTTGCTAACCCTGTTTGCTTGCCTTTTCTGCGGCAAATTCAATTTTGTTGTACAATTTAAGAAGCTCATTTAGGCTAATTTTAAAACGATGTAACAATTAAAACGCCCACTTTTTTCCGTCCGCGAATAATAAGAATTCATTCCTCCTGGGATATATTTTCCTCCGCCAACTTTTTCCGCGTTAAATTTTGGAAATTAAAAAGTCAGCCGGGATACGCGATGCTGTATCTTTTCAAAAATTGTAAATGTTATTAGAAAATGATATTCCGTATATTTTGTCAAGTAAATAATTCTTAATGGTCAGCAGTAATTAAAAACATCGATATAATTTTATGTGTACCTTTTGAAAGATATCTTTTTTTTCAAATGTTATTATACGTTATTATTTATTCAATAATGATATCAGTTTATTAAAAATGTCATATCGTTAGTCAGCAAAAGTTGTTTACTCGATCGAACGTACAGGATATTATTTTCAACATTTACAAACTTGTAAAATATGACGATACAGCATCGTGCCAACTGACGCTTTAATTTTTAACGATATTCAATCGAGCTCATGTGCAACGTACAACGGTTCGTGCATCTCCTTGTCATCGTTACCGTTCTCCTCCTCGTAAAAATTTCCGATACCGTCGGCCATACCGTCGGTGGGGCCAACAACGAGCACCTCCTCGCTAACATCCATTTGCTCATCCTCCTGCGCCGAGATTATGACGTTAGTCCCGGCAGAACCCTCGCCATCAGGCTGATCGGACTTTTCCCGATTCTTCGATGTCGCTTGGCCTGGAAAGGTCACATCGGCGTGCTTAATCTATTAGAATTCTTGTTGCGAAAAGGTGAAAAGTCGCGGTAAACGTGCCGCGACAAACAAAATTTCGGAATAACTGATTCCCCGCGTATTTTACTCTGTATACCTCGAAGCTTATTACAGCTCGTGAATCTGGTTAAAAGATCCATTCCCACGCGCGCGCGGAATACTTTTGCGATAATCTACGATGAATTTTGATGCTTTTTAACTGTCTGGCTCTCCGCCAACGACGCTTTTACAGGAATTGTGCAAATTTTTCGGACGCTGTGACGTCCCTTACGACACAATAGAGAGAATTTCCCGGTGGAAGGGTCGATTATGAGGTGCGAGCCCACCGTGCGCGTTTATTTACACACATCGTAAATATGTATGGAGGTGTAGAGCATATAGCCGGGAGCTTAATCACCTCCTTTGAGAGGGTCCGCGACGAAGGCTGCCGAGTCGGATATTATACTGACCTTGGCCGAGATCTCGCGCTTTGCCCAGATAGGAGTACTCCCGTGCGTTCGCTAAACCCGCTATCACACAGGCACTGAGCGCGCTGCGACTGAGATTCATAGGAGATGCATCGTACCATTCGTTGTAATCCGCGTCGTAGCACTCGACGTACGCGATTGTGTTGGATCCTATTACAATAACGTCGTTCGTTTGTAATCGTAAGCCGCTTATATTTTACGCGAAAGTGAAAACCGCTCTCTCAACGAGTAATTTTCGTATTTATAGCTCTTACTTTATATTTATTACATTTTACGCTTCGCCATTGCGCGCATATTCTGAATTATGACGAGAACTCAAAATTCCTAAAAGCTTTCCCAGTATTTTCAAGCGGGTTAATTAACGTTTTCACTTATGCCGAAACCGTATCTTCCGTTACAGCAAAAAAGAACATTACAGAAAGACATAAATATGTACATTTCTTTCGAAGTTACGTTCGAGAATATAATAAATCAGTAATATAAAGGAAATAGCTTTTTTTTTTTAGGATACCATTGTAGCCGCCGATAACGAAAATCATATCGTCGAGGATCACCGTGGCGAAATTGCTGCGTGGGCTAAACATCTCTGAGATTTCGTGCCATTGGTCCGAGTGATTTGGAGTGTAACGTTCCCCTGGAAAATAAATGTTTATTTTTCTCCCCGAATGACGCCGCTCTCTCCAGCACCTGTCACGTCAAACGTCCGCGTGGAAAATATTTAACACGTAGTTATACACTCTGCAGATACTAAAGATTACGTCATGTACAACGGGCGTTGCAATTCGAGAATGATATCGCGCAACTGACGTAGTTACAACTGAACGAGACTATCATTGTTTGCGCGAACATTTCAGTGTCAAACTAAATTCTGACAAATGTGCGGAGCATCAGCAAAACTTTCCTAATTAATTAATTGTTAACACCGTACACGTTAACATATCCATATATGTTTTGCCTATGTATGCAAATAATAATTACCAGAGAGATTTAATTTCCAGTAATTATTTATGCAAGTGGAAAATATTAAAAATTGATTGCTTCTTTTTAATAAAGCATTTTTTTTTCTTTAATAATATCTTGAAATGTCGAAGTATTTTCTGATCGCGATTTGATTGCTTTTCTGAATAAAGCATTTCTTTAATAATATCTCAGAAATAATGTTGGAAGTACTCTCCGATAGCACGATTGCAATTATTAATAACAAATAATGGCAAGAGATAACCGGAATTGTGTGTTAGTGAGTTAACTCTGTATCATCAGGCGATTTAATCTGGACAAAGCCATAACTTTTCAATTGCTATTGTATCGAGATTGTAACAATCGAAACTAACCGGAGCTCAGTCTCGCGACGCCGCTGAATCCGCCGAGGGCGTAGAGACTGTCGCGATAGGCGACTAAGGAGACGCCGGATCGCGGGCTGATCATCGAATTGATGCTGGTCCACTGATTGGTCTCCACGTCGAACACCTCCGCCGAGTCGAGGACCTCCTGGCCGTTGAAGCCGCCGACAATGTAGATCTTGTCGTGCAGAGCGGCCGCGCTCGCGTCCGATCGTTGCCGATGCATGGACGGTATCATCTCCCATTGATTCCGCTGCGGCTCGTAACGCTCGCCAGAACTCATTCTCGTGCGACCATTGTATCCGCCGAGCGCATAAATCTTGCCGCCTTGAACGATGCCAGAACCCAGAACAATGTGCAATAAGTAGACAATAGAAATTATATGAAAGAATGGTGAGACAAATGGTCTTTAGTTTTTATTTAAAAAAAATATATAGAAGGATTTGTTTTAACGTAAGTAAGTAAGTAATAATACGAAGAGAGAAAAGAATTTTTTGCACGACTTTTATGCATACATTTGTCTTAAGTAACAAGGCAAATGTATGCATAAACGTCATGCAAGACAATGAGTAAATACCCATTTAAACAATAGCTTTACGCTATTTTAAAGCTTTTATTGTTAAAGCGAACTTATCATTGTTTCAGAGACGGCAAAATCTGATTTAATTATACTTAATAATTTTTTTGAAACATTATGAAGCAGATAAAAGCGAAGACTGCCGAGCTTTGAGTTTTATCTGTCTAATATCATTTAATGTTATTAAGAGATAAGAATCGGAGAATTATATTTCGGGGAAAAAGATCTCTTTCTTCTTAGATCATTATCTTGCAGAAAACTCACCGTGTGTACAAACGGTGACATAACACCTGGCATGATACATGCAGGCTCGTTCCCGCCACGTTTTAGTCGTCGGATCGAAACATCGTACCGTATTAAAATGCTCGTTACCGTCAAATCCGCCGATCATATAGATGAGATTGTTCAGGACGCATAATCCGTGATAAGCCCTCGGCGTTACATCAGTGTTCACCGATAGAAACCATCTGTCAGCTCTAAAGTTCATATTTAGGTAAGTTACAAGATTCTTGAGGTGTTCGTCTCTATCTAACATTTGCGATGTTCTAAAGCGGTGCTTGTGTAAGATCAATATCCCTTTCGTGATGTCAAAATTGAACAAATATTGCACTAATATTCTTTTCAATTATTCTTTCCTTTATTATCTTATATATCGTCTTATATTCTGCTATATTGTCTTAATATACCAAATTTTGACGATTATTTTTTGACAAATTTATAAAAAATATCAAGTATATCATAATATTTAATATAATAATATTAAATAACAGAAATTGAGCAACATATATTATTGATGTTAGAACAATTGACAATAATTAAAAAGTAAAATAAATATTTTTTTCTTAAGAGAGGTCAATGTCAAGTGGGTTAGAAAAATACTGTCACTGTTTGTTTTTAAAGAAAATGTTTATTTATTCTTATTTAAATCTTAAACTGAAATCCAGCATAGACATCACGGTAATATTTTTGGAAACTTTGAAATTTCGATTTCTATGGAAATTTCGGTTATACGATGTCACTTTGTAAGAGCTCGGCGCACCTTGTGTCGTAAGTCTCTACAAAACTGGTGGGCGAACCAGCACTCCATCCGCCAATCGCAAAGAGAATTTCGTATGGCACTCGCGGTCTCGCAATAGGATTTTTTAGATCGATCTCGCCGTTTTGTTTCAACTCTTGCTCGGTTAGATGAGCGTTCACGGAGAACAATATTTGTTGGCACGCCTTAGAGAATTCGAGCGGATTTTAACGTTAAACTAAAACATTATTTATAGAAACAAAAACCAAAAGAGACATAATAAAAATTAAAAATATAAGAATATTATTGCTCATATAATTCCATTTCAATTTATATTTTTATTACAATAATTGTATTAATAGATCGTATTTTTATGAAACTATTACGTATTTCGCGATTTCCATTTTAATATTTCTATATTCCGTTTTAGAGTAAAATAGGAACGTTAAATAGAACATGAACAAAGTGCCAATTGACTTATATGCTGTAACAATATCTTGTTAAAAAGTAATTGAGAGGGACAAGGAAACATATATTAGTACTACGCCTAGCTCCATTATATTCGATTCGAAATGGAGCAAAACAAGGCGCGAGGACAGCGGTGATGAAGGTACGAGCTTACTTCATCGTTCTCGACGAGCTTCCAGTTGGCGATGTTATTAATGAAATACTTATGACTCATGAGACCGTAACGTATACATTCCAGCAACCTCGGTAAATAAACCCGTCTCTCCTCGACTCTGGCTTCGACCCACGTCTTGACGGCGTCAAACACGATCTCCTCGTTTTTAACATTGAGCTCGTCGTCGCGCAATATCGCTTCCAGCTCGTCGCAAAGAAGATCCTTGAACTCCGCGCTCTCCTGCAGTATCCGCTTGAAGTGATGACGTATGTACTTCCGGCCCTGTTTCTCGAGGTCGCGGCAGAAGTAGTGCCGTGCAAATTTGAAAATACCTGTAACCGTAACAACGGTCCAAGTTATTTCTAACATAAATGTCATAAATGTCATTGTTCATCTGGAAAATCGAAAATCAACATCCCAAAGTTCGGTACGTGCAATTTAACTTTCAAACTGTTATCTCTGACTAGCGGAGAGCCAGACCGAAATTATACACCGTACCGTTGTTTCGCGATTAATTGTGTATTTTTTATATTTCATACATCCTTACGCTTACCTAAACAATTTTCCGGTCGTAGCTCCTGCAACAAAAACTGACAACAGAGCTGGACGATTCCGAGGACCTCGAATTGATCGGCCAGCGGCAATAATTGTTCGACATTATCGGCATTTACGATGCAGGTGCCCGTGTAGGCGTAGTCGAGGATCAGGCTGAAGATTTCACCGGGGACGGAAATAACGACTTCCGTGGTCTCGGTTTTGCCGCCTTTCAGGCTGTTGGTGAACAGGGCCTTGAAATAGGGGCTCACCGCGGATAATATAGCGCGATGAACTGAGAAGACTTGATCCGGGCATCTTATGACGCCGTCGCACAGCTGCTGGTTAACCCTGAAGCCGATAGACTCGTCACAATTCTGAGAACGTTGCACGTGTTTTATAATTAACCATTTATATGTAGAGTTTCAAACGTGCAAACGAATTGAACGTTGTTTGATTGAATTGAAGCTATATGTAATATATTCGGGTAAAATCAATTTATACGAATCGTGGAATTTTACAGCGCATTAAAGCTAATTTCAGCCCAATGTTTTCATGTCATCAGACATATGTAATAACATGTAGCTATAATTTTATGAAACAAAATTATTAAATTTTATTTTCAAATACATTTCTACGAAAGAGTAAGGAAAAGTACTCCTGAATCGCTCCTGTATAGAGCAGCCGTTCGCGTAACAATTGCGAAAATTAACTAATTTCTTAAAAGCCAGCAAACATCTCGTAAGCTCGTACTATTATCTCGAAACCGCGCATTGTCCCGAGAGAGAAACGTTAATAATCCGCGGCGCGGACGAGGGAGGAGGCAGGCGCCTTAATTACGATGGCGCATGATTACTGACCTGAGCTCGGACCAGACCACGGGGAAGTCCACGAGGGCGTAATTGGACGGCAGACACATGCATCTCCTGATTCTCGCCGACTGCTTTCGCCTGGCCTGCTTGAGGAGCCTGATACCGGCGACGGTAGCGTGGTCCACGTGCGCCCGATTACGCGCCGAGTAGGTCAACGCGCGCGATCCCGAGCTTTCTACAGCCTCCTCCGCTTCGCCGCTTCCGCTGAGCTGCCGGCAACCCTCGTATTCGTTCTCTTCGCAGACGCGAGTCCCGATAGCGCCGAGACGCGCGGCCATGACAGACGAAGGCCAAAAATTGGCCGACTTCGATTCGATCTAAATTGTATCTCTGTCTCCCTCTTTTTCGATCTCTCGACAAAATTGCATTAGATTAATATGCTCGATGCATTCCTGTCATTTGTGTCGTTCGCGAATGATCAATAAAATTATCTTTGTCGTATAATTATTACATAAGACAATTATATTTTCTCGAGAATGAGAAAATATATCAAATTGCCTTGGTAATCGTGCAATTAAGCTTACACAGCACATTTTCACCGGTAATTTTTTTCTATTTTTCTCCCATTAATCATATCGCGATGTGCGATAGTACGCTATTTCCGAATACAAGCTTACCCTACCTTAACAGAAAGCAAAAATCTAACCAGAAGTTATTTCGCAAAAACTTGTGCAGGCATCTCGCCGGAACTATTTTATCAGAATTTTGTTACGGAGTTACATAAAACGCTTTATCACGTCTCTCTCTTAGCTTGTATGTAATATCTTCCCTCGCAGATAAAATGTTTCTAACCCATTTATAATCTCGCAACAAGTAAAAAAATCAAGTAATCTCGAAATAAACGACTTTGAAATATAAAAGCCGTATTGAAGAAGGATATACAATGTCCCCAACATATATCCTTGGTTTGTAAAAAGATTCAATAAAGAATTATCGGTTTTACAGACAGAAAGTTTCAAGTAGACTCTACTTTCAATGCCACTCTAAAAAGGAACGGTCTTTCGTGCGCCACTCGGCTGATAATACGCTCGTGTATAAAGGATAAAGGCACAGAGCAAAAATGAAGAAACACACGGTTAGAGAGAGAGAGAGCGGAGGCATTCTGATGGAACAGACCGATCTTTAATATATCGATTACTATCGGCGACTAAGATTCTGCTGCCTTATACTAGATAGACGCAGTATCCTTTATCTTTCCGACAGCTAAATCAGCGGCAAGCTTTTCCAAGAAGTTTCCAAGAATCTCTTTATCTTTCGCGCTTCCATTATATTAACTATTATATTCGAGAAGCATTGAAATAAAATCCATAATTGTAGGGTATTTGTATACAATTTATCTGTTTATTTACATAAAACGTATTGTATTGCCTAATCATCCATTTATTATCTCTATTGATAAACTTCGAGCAGAAAGTTAATTGCCACGCGCTCTCTCTCATGGAGGTTAACAATGTCGCTTTTTCTCTCAGAAAGCCTTTTTTCAATCCAACTCCGCAAAGCATTTTTCATACCACTCGGGAAATAATTTTACTCGCACTTCTGAGTCCGCCCTCCCACAAAACCCTCTTAAATTAAATCGGCAATGCAATGATCTCCGGGACTGTTAGGCAATTTTTCATTTTTCTTATCTTATTGCCATGGCGAGACCCGCTGTGTCTGTCTCTAAAGCGGGCGCTGTGTGCCCGACTCGTTGATAAAACAATTCGCGCACCGGGAAGAATATCGTCTCGGCGTTAAATAAAAATATGTATACGACTGGCGAGGAGTTAACATTTACAGAGTCTCTCATAGGAACGCTTAAGAAAACTCCCCGTTCACTTTTTCTCGTCCTGCCGCAATTTCTTTTAATTTACCCTTTACTTTAGACAATTTAGACAACGTCGATGATAATTATTTTGTGCCTTATCTCCCCCTCTCTCTTTCCCTCTCTCGTTCATTTTCTTTATAAACTTAATAATAATTTGCAAAATATATTTGCTGAAAAAGATTTATAGATACGTAAAAGCGTAATATGCCTTCACGACTTGCAAACGGTACATCCAGCGCGAAAGATGATGCACTTCATATTTCTTTCATACATTTCATTCTTTCCGTTGTCTTTTCTTCTTTCTTTCCTTCTTCTTCTATTATTTTTCTCTTGCTCGCCTCTGTTATTTTTCTTTCTTCTTCAGCTCTGAATACCTCTTGACATAAGAACTTCAGTTACGCCCAACGTCGTATGAGTTCGCGAATTCTATTTCCTACGTGGCACGAATGTTTACGTATACAAATTTACACTGTCTATATGCAGGAGGTACACATAAATTCTGCAGATACAACAATATGTATCGCAGGTATTGCAGAAATTGAAGAAATTAGCGAAATGTCTCGTGTGGAGTATGATTGTTTCGTAACTGAAGTATTTAGTGAGTCTGCAGCTTCACGACAGTTTACACTCGGAAATGTAAACTCCGTACATAGAATCGTTTGGATTTCCCGCATTTCCAATTACGCTTACACGAGAGCCAACATCGGCGTTAATCAAGCGCGCGCGCGTGCGAGTGAATTAAATTAACCGATAAAAATTACCCTGCGAGATAAACAACGATGTTGCTCACACACACGTGAGTATTAAATACGTAAAAGACTTAGGGCTCTGCGCAACAGTACGGAAATTTACGTAAAAGTTTCCGACACACGTCACTCTTAATTTACAGCTGAGATACGTATGCAAATTCCTGCACGGACACCCCCGCACGGTTTCGCATTACGCGCATGCAGCGCGTAGTAAACTCCAGCACGCGCACATGCATGTTCACGACCGTAACATGACGCGTCCGTTACTAGGTGTTACGCTTTTGCCCGCGATAATTGTAAATAGGGGATAGGGTTTGCACTATGATGGTCACGGAAATATCAGCCACAAAATCAATTTATACAGACACCACCGGCATGAATCTCCGCAATGTAACATTCAAATGAGATGCTTTTAGTGAGTTAGATATGTTATATATGTATAAATTTTAAAAATTATATGTCAGCTGTATATGCAAATTATTTTGATTTTGTTTACATCTCGAAATGACAACTACATTGGCGTTTGAGTTTAAAATTAAATGTCGAAGGAATTAAATTAAGATGGGCAGCGACCCAGCCTCGAGAGAAAATGCAAAACATTTTATGGAATATGGAAATGAGTCGATCTAACAATACGAGATGTCGCATAATGATAGAGCTGAACGTAATAATTCGAAAATAGTACAACCGGAATTTATCATTTTTATGGTTGCGAACTTTAGCGAATACTTCCACCGGCTTACGTACGTAACTGGTGACTACCAATCGTCCGAAACGCGTGGAAAACACATTCTCTAATGGGCATCGGGGGCATCGATGTTCTGAAAACGGCTAAAACTTGAAATCGTGTTTACCCGCGAGAATGGAAATAAGCCGCGAGATCGCTCCGGCGCTAAGTTAATAAAAACGAAATTGTCAATTTCGCACGTCGACGGTAGAACGTTGCGTGATCGTTTTTTTACGAGTATTCGTGAAATATTCAACGCCGCGAATGCTTCTTAACATTTCGTTGAATATCACGTAATATATAAATGTAGAGAGATGGTAGCTTAATTATTTAAAAATTTCAAAGTTTGAAAGCTTTTAAAATAATGTTAAAGTTGATGCATCGAAAGGGCATAGTATATTTATTTTCATGAATGTGTTTTACTATAATTCAATTATATTTAAGCGAAATAATTTTTGAGTGACGTTCGATATAATATTTAGGTCACGATAAATTTGCACAGATTCGCAAAATTATTTTTAAAGTGCCTTGATAATTTATTCAAGAACCAAATTTCGTATTTCGCAGACGATCTTCCATCCGCTCATCCTTTCCACATTTCTGGGATACATTTTATTTCATTTTTTTTTACGCGCGCGCGCGGTTGACGGAGCTCAATCTCATCATCAGATTTAATTTCAATTCGCGAAAAATGAGAAATACCCCGATAAATGAGAAATTCCGAGTGGCAGCGAATTGTCGAAGGATTGGTGGGGATGAAATGAAGAAAAGAGAAAGACATATTAAATCCGTCTTTGTACATACCACGTTCGCAGACCCGAGAAATTTGTCGCGCGGAACTAAGATGGATCGTTCGAGATCTTTTGATCGGAGAGACGCGTCACACTTTCAGCCAGTCATGCTACTTACACAAGCTTGGCCGTTACCTCAATGGATACACATATTGTTGCGCGATGATTTAATAAACAGTTTCTCATTTACGTGAGGGCAATTCAACATTTTATTTAATTTTTCAGCGGCGCTGACGGAATCTCACTTAATAACAGTTTTTATTATGATATCTCTCGTGCATCAAATAAAACAAATTAAATATTGTATTATTTTTATGAAAATAATGTTTATTATAGCTGACACTTTAAAATGTATCGTCACGTTTACGGCCACAATTCGTGTGATTACGTATAACATTGATGCGCGGTTGCTGATTTATTAATGCAGAAATACAGTGTGAAACGAAAGCAGGACATAAAAAGAAAAGAAAGATATGGAGCGACGAGATTTTCGTAGAAAGACACCGTTCAAGAAATATATCTGTCTATATGTAAATTTCTTATATACGAAAAATCGTGGACCTGCTGAAAAATATTTTAATCCATAAAATAGTTTTCGAGGCGAGACCAGCTGTATAATACATGCACATATCTCACTTCGTCAGATCGAAAAGATAGAGAACGGGAGAGAGAGAGAGAGAGAGAGAGAGAAAGAGAGAGAAATATTAATCTCAATTCTTCGCAATGACAGCGTGACTGACTGAGGCAAATACAGGCTAAATCCCAAAGGTGAGTTATCGCGAAAGTTCTTTATACGCGAAAGCGAGTTTCTCGTCTTTCTCAAATCTCGCCGATCGCTTCGGCGCGATTTACTTAAATGTTATCATACGCAGATTTAAATCCCACTTCGGATATATTACACACGTCACCGGAGCTCGCGCTCACATTTTCATTCTCATACGGTCGATGGCGCTCAATCAGATTGTTAGATTCAATTCCAATTCGTCGGATTCGTCTTTGGTAAACGTATAGGAAGATGGGGAGAGAAAAGTAACGAAACGTGGAAGCTTAATTTACTTCTCGACTGTCTGACGTCGTCGTAAGGAGCATTTATCCAGCTGAAGTTGCTTGAAAGCTATTAACTGCCACGGCGTTTAAGCCGAATTAAAAATTAATCACTTTATCTTAATTGACAATTGATCCTAATTGAAGTTTAATAATTCGCAATAAGCGGAATAATTCGCCGATTAGAAGGAAATTTATCGAATTATGATGAATATTAGAGAGACGAATACTTAGAGGGAACAAAACTATTATTAAAGTATGCGAGGAATATGCTGTCTCTTTTAATTTACCCAAACGCCAACTAGTTCGAGTTACCACAGCTTAGCGAAGGGAGAGGCCCCATACCTCTGACCAAAACCGTTCATAACTCTAGTGTACTTCGGTAAACTTCACACTCTCTTCCGGCTTGAATTTACTTCGGTCTAGCTCGCGGTAATCTGGGTTACTGTGGTGAAAAGAATAACTATTCCGATTCTTCGTACTCTTTTCATGCTTACGTTAACAGTTCGACTTTCCAACGTGTATTGATTTTACATGGTCGAGAGCCACCTCATTGAATTTGCAACTTTCGCTTCAATCTACGTTTCGTTTCAATCTACAGAAAATTCCGGATTTCGCAGTAGGATAAAGATATAAATGGAAAAAAAGGATTCTATCTCGATTCTCCTCAGTGTGACATCAACGATATTAACGTGCACGTTAGATTCTCGACGGGATGAAAGAAATCAATGTATTTTTTTTTATTAAAATGTATTAAAACGGAATAAAGTTTTATTATTATTTAGTAATTTTATTAATAATAAATATTGTGAACTAAATATATGTGCGTAAACTTTTCAGCATACCTATATAATTTCATTAAAAAGGAATTTGTATATTTTAACATTTATTAAAATACAAATGAATTAAACCCACTTAATTAAATATTAAATATTTATAAAGAAAATTATAAATAAATTTGTAAATAAATTTATAAATATTATGAAGATAAGTAACATATGCGCAGCTCTATATCAATGATACACATGATACAACGACGAGTTTTAAAATATCTTTTTATTATAATCTTTATTTAGTATTAAACGAAAGTAAATACGAAAGTAAATAGGATCAAAATAACAAGATATAACTTTATCTTTAGAAATATAAAATTTGCAATATGGTTGCGTGACGGTCCGCATAATGTATGTTTATATCACTGAAATATACACAAGAGTCAAGAGATAAATATAACGGACACAAGCCATAAAAATAAACGTCTAATTTTATAAATCAGAAACACGCGTATGTGCATGAATATTTCACGCTCCTATATATATATCTTCCTTTCCATATCGAGAATACCCTGATATCCTAGAGTCCCGAGACAATTTTTGCGAACCCTATTGGGATTGAATAGAATCCCAATACATTTAAGGGGCCGATATAAGATTGTTGTGCGTCATGTATAAGGGACCACGCGCTCGATGACAGAAACCACGAAGAGGTGCACGCTGACCGCACTGATGCACGTTCCATTTCGTACGGACGAAGGCGTCCAATCAAGCTCCAGTCCGGTTTCAATTCCGATCCGCGAAACGTCCCGGTGAACGAAGGGAGCGAGAGAAGGAGAGGATTGCGCGCGACAGAAAAACAGAGAGAGAAAGAGAACAATTCGGATGTAGGACGACGAGACCAGGGGAAAAGTCTGCGGCGACGAGGATCCTCTCTCGTCTCTCTCTCTCTTTCTCTCTCTCCCGCTCTCCTTCTCGCTCTCTCTCTCTCTCTCTCTCTCTCTCTCTCTCTCTCTCTCTCTCTC